TGGCATAACTAGAAGACAATGTGTTAAGTGATTTTGTGTGTGTGTGTGTGTGTGGGGGGGGGGCTGGCTTTTTATTATAATATGGACCAGCTGATTTGCCTATACTTAAAAACATGGGGTGGGGGTTGGGAATTAATGAAGCAAATTTTTGCTTTTTACACTGCTCATAATTTTTTTGCTAGTGGTTTTGTGCATGCATGTATGCAGCCACTACTTACCTCCCAAGCTATACTGTGTGTTAGATTTCAAATGAGATTTTAATTTATGCTCGTAAATAACTCGTATTAAGGTATTTCAGCCACCAGAGGGTGAAATATGCCAGATGTCGCTCCAAAGCAGGTATAACTAGCACCATCAAAATCACTTCCTCTGTGTGCTCAGGCACTAGCGCACGTAGAGCATGTCTTACCTGTAGTGTGGATTCCTTGCTCTTTCCTGTCCCTTCTGGTGAGTGAGCTGTATGGTGTCTAAACTTGTTTGTACACTTTCATAACTTAAATTGAAAATTTCTAAAATGAAACAAATTTCATAGATACGTACTCCAGCTTTGGATCATTATCTGAAATTCTGCAAAACTTGGAAATACAGGTCACCTGCCTAGTGATGTTAAAGATGTATTTAACTGTAGTGAGTGGTATATCCTTTGTTTTAAACAAATGAAAAATACTCACTGAAGAGAACTCTCTTTTGAATGAGAAATACATTTCCACTCTAAATTTAGAAATGTTTAAGGAATGAATACAAGGAAATGTGGGTGTTTGTGCAACCTCATGACCATATTTGTTTTTATTTTTCATTTGCTCACTGGTCTTGAAAGCATTAGAACAAAACCATCAGAAATAAAATCTTAAATGTGCATTATCTTTTAAATGTATGACCTATCAAATGGTTACTGATCAGTTTTCTGTCTAAAAGCAATACACTAATGGTGTTTCTCCTGTTACTGGGACTGAGTCTGGCTGGGGTCAGGTGTGTCTGGGGTAGCTTTTCTGAAGTGTTAACTCCAGCTATAAAGAGGTGAATTCTTAAGGGTTTGGTAAAGCATGTCCTTCAGGTCTTTG